AGAGAGAGAGAGAGAGAGAGAGAGAGAGAGAGAGAGAGAGAGAGAGAGAGCGAGAGAGAGAAAGAGAGAAAGATAGAGAGAGAGGTGAACAAGAATGTTCGCCATGCACGCACCATCTGGTATATAGAGGCCGATGTAGTTATTAGTTATTACTATACCAGGCGTTTACACGCTCCCTGGTGTCATCGCACTCTCGTACGTGTGCGTGCGTGCGTGCGTGTGTGTGTACGTGTGTACGTGTATGCTGTGCGGTGTGTTACGTCACGTCGCAGGGATGCTGCGTGTGCGTTACCATGGCGACGTCCATGCCTCGTGCACACGATTAGTATATATCGTGGTGATTGTGGAGCAGAGATGATTCATTGTCTATTACCGAGTAGGTTGTTCGAAACCGGATCGAGATGAGCATAACATTGGATGGACAAGACGGTCCCTTTACATCCCCCGCTCTTCTCATCTTACCTTGTTCTTTATTATCCCTCCTCTTGTTTCGTCGTTCGTCCCCGCTCATTCTGAAACCTCCTCACTTCTCCTCCTCTCATTCCTTCTCACCTCTTCTCATTCCCCCACATCCCTCTTCACCCCTCACACCTCCTCGTCCATCGTCCCTACCCCTCCAGCCTCACCTCTTCTCATTCCTCGCCCTCCCTCTTCACCTCTCCTCACACCTTCGCCTCATTCATCCGCATGATTCACTGTCTCCGTACACTCGCTGCTTTCTAGCTCCGTGGCAACGGGTATCGGTTAGAGGTGGTTATAGACGGTCCATCTCCTATCCACTCCTTCCTATGGTTGTAGGGCTTCCTTCGACTGCGACAGGTGCTATTATACATATGACGCCAGGTCCCTCCATCTGGGCGTCATATCATCGTCTTCGTCATATATCGTCATATGTTCGACCCCTCCCTCCCCGATGCATAATATCCCCTACCCCTCCCCTCACACCCCCATGCATAATATCCCCGACCCCTCCCATCCCACCCCCACGCATAATATCCCAGACCTCACCCCTCCCCTTCCCCCACACTGCCATAAAATGTTGCACATATTTAGTGCAGTGTTGAATTCGAGCGGGTGAGGTTTTATGCGTGTGGTAAAAATATTAAATTAATGCAGAAAATGCGGGACACTCCCCGATGCAGAGCGCGTACGTGGCGTAGTAGCGGATGTGACGCTGTGACGCTGTGACGGGAGCGGCTAGGCGCAGATGGAGGGCCACTCAGTGGACGTTTCAGTCCAACTAATTATCGCAATCACTATATCGTATGTTAATCAGACGTTTTTCTATTAATAAACGTGAAGAAGGTCGAACGGAAAGCTGCTAAGATGCGCGCGATGGTTATGCGCTGCGGTTCACTTTCTCGCGTGTATAAGTCGACAGATAATTTGCATGCGGCATTTTCTCGGGTGCCTAAGCATATAAAAGATCACGGCAGACGTCAGCAATAATAATAATAATAGCACTCGGAGAGCACAGACCTCCGCCAAGGCAGCTGAATTCTCTCTCAATGTGAATTTTTAGCTCATCTGACATAGTCAGATGCAGCTTGTAGAATCGCATGATCGTCCGTGCGTCCACGTCAACAGTTGGGCACAAATCTAAACGCTCGATGTACGGTCACGATATTCGGGACGGGGGGGGTAATCCGAAAACGAGTTGGGATGTCGAAGCTGGGGTCAAAGGTCAAAGGTCAAGAGGTGTAAAAGAAGGGGAACTCCCTCTTTAACTTAAGGTATAGGAGGAAATGCAGAATTGCGGCACAAATCTAAACGGCTCGACCTAGGCTCGTGATAGTCGGTGTATAGCATCATGGTAGGAAAAGCCATCACTGTGCCGAAATTGGAGGTCACAGTCAAAGTCATGGGCACAGGGCAGATTTTTAGACATTTTCTGAGACATGGTTGACCGAGCGATTGAAAAACTTTTTTGTTTCAGCGGTGACCTACTATTTTTATGCTTTATGAAAGGACCATGAATGTGCTTTCCACTGACGTGCGAAGAGTAAGTGTCGATAACTCTTTGACCCTCAAGAGGAGGTAAACATGGATTTGTTGACTGTTTAACAAGGGGTGAACTGCTTTGCTATTAAAGCCCCCTCCCACCACCTCCCCCACCGCCCTCCCCCACACCCTCCCCCACCCTTCCCCTACCGCTCCCCCTACTCCACTCTGCGATAGTGGGCGTGTCCTAACAATGATGTGTACGCAACTGCGTTGTCTGCATCTGCACAAACAATGTGGTACTACGCACGACTGAAATTTGTACGTTTATAATCGTAGCAACAGACCTCGATGAGCCAGACGCTCTGCGCTCTTGTTTTATTAATTAAATTCAATTAATTAAGTGGAAAAATTATTAATTAATTAATTAATATAATAATTATTTGGATCCGGATTAGTGCGAGCGTGGCAGGTGGGGA